GAAATATATTTTTCTTTAATAGTCAAGGCCAGAAAGCGATCGAAGATATAAAATCAAGAGTACTGGCACTAACAGGAAGGTTCAACCTAAGCTCGAACGCGAATAAGGTTCAACGCGAAAGGCTGACCATGTTCTCGCCTACGTGTGAGTAATCTAATCGCTCATCTAATCGTCTCGAGAACGAAGAGGATATATATTTCAGTCTCGCCAATGGGGAAATTCGTTAACGTGTGACAGGTCAAACGCCGCGTAACACGGATCAGGAAGCTTGGGCCGACCCGTTCTCGATGAACATGCACTTTCAATTGAATCTGACGTCGGGCGAGCACGTGGTCGCTGCGAAATTAAGGATCTACAAGTTACCACAAGAGAATCTTACGTCGTCTTTACCAAGTATGAGTGGTAGTGTCGTTGACGAACAAGAAGAGGAGGACGAGAAGAAGATCAGAATATCAGTTTACTATTACACGAAAACGTTGAGAAAGCATCGAGGTGAGGGACCGGTCACGGTTACTTCTTACTTTTTGTTTACATTCTTTCTTTTTTCTTCGTATCGAAAAAATCCCCCTCTTCTTCACCCCTCATCCAAAAAAAGATACAACGAGCCTCAATCCTCCAAACTTATCGTAGCAAAGAAACGCTTGATGGACTCTTTGGTGACGCCATTGACGAACGAGGGTACACACTTGGCATTAGACGTACGACAAGGACTCAGATTTTGGAGGCTAAATCCAAGAAATCCACATGGTAACGGCGGCAATCACGGGCTGGTAATTCAGGTGGAGGATCAGGATGGTCGACCGCTCAAACCGGCCCTTTACATTCAGGAGCCGTCTTGCTCGAACGGCGACGACGATCAGAAGGCATGTGAGTGTGTGACCTAACAGTACTAACTCCAACATTTTTTTTCTCTCTCTTTTCTACTTCTTCTTCTTCTATTTCTTCTTCTTCTTCTTCTTCTATTTCTTTTTCTTCTTCTTCTTCTTCTATTTCTTTTTCCTCTTCTTTTTCTTTATCTTGCTTTAATTCTTTACTTTTCTCTTTCTGTTTCTTTGCCTGTGAGATTTTTCATCTGATAATTAACGACGTGTGCCAATAACCATTTAATCGATTTTTCCTTTCCTTTTCTCTCTTTCTATCGTGGTATCGATCGAAGGAAGAAAAAGGATCGTTTCGATGTTCTGTTTCATCGTTTTTCATCTGCATGTCTCGTGTAATATGTACTTACATATACATACGTATATATATATATATATATACACATACATATGTAAATTTTCGTGTTCTCTGCTGGTTCGAAATAAGCATTTCTTTTATTTTCTTTTTTTTTTATATATACTTCTTTTCCTCTTTTTTTTCTTTTTATTTTTAAAACACCAAACTTCTTCTTCTTCTTCTTCTCTCCCAGGCTCCCTTCGACTTACAAATGTAATTGGGCTTTTCTTTTATTTTTTTACAGACCACCACTTACCTGCACTTTTCGTCCGAGCCTGTACTCGTTACGTTCGCGTCGTAAACGGCGAAACGGTCACGTATGTGAATTGCAGGCACTAAAGGTGCCGGCGAGTAGCCAGGGTTGATGATTACGATGGTTCAAGAAGAAAAGAAGGTGGAGAAAGAGGAAAAGAGGGAGAGGGAAGAGAAGGAGAAGGAGGGACGGGACAACGAAAAATCGTGTTAAAACAAACGTATACGTTTTCTCGTCGGGACTACTCACTCCGCCAACTCTATATTTCATATTTTTGTAAATGATTAAATTCGATTCATAGAAGAACTATATATATATACATATATATATATATATATATATATATATATATATATATATAATATTAGGTTTTCCATCGATTTAAGATATATATTTTTTGATACGAGTTTAGAGCTTGAACGAAATTGTATGAGACTGACGTGCCGATAGTGATTAAGCTGTATAGGAGGGAAGAAGAAAAACGGAGAAAAGAAAAAAAAAAGAAAAGAAAAGAAAAGAGGAGAAAAAGAAAAAGAAAACGAAAACTAAAAATTATGTTCGCGTACGATTCAGATAGACGCAACCCATTTATAGACTGTCTTTATCTAAGATACTATATTTAAGAAGAGTGTATATTTAAATACGAATTAGATAGATACATGTTAAAAGTTCGTATCTTATATCCATCTTTCTTTTATTTGAGTTTTAGTAGATTTTATTATATGATTTAACGAGACAATGTAAATATTGCTTTTAGTATTTTAATTAGTTCTTTACGATTTTATGATTTTACGCGTTCATCTTGTTAAGTCACCGTATACCTATGACTGATATAACCAAATGTAAATGTAAAAGTAGACATATATATATATATATATATATATATATATATATATGTATAATGTTTATGAGAGTTGTGTTAACTTGTTTTAATCGAACAAATTTCGTGTTACGATTAGACGAATTCTTAAGCTCTCATTATTATTAGATTTTTTTAAAGTTAATTTTTTTTTGTTTTTGTTCTTTTTTTAT